TGCCAGAGCCTCTCAGCACCGGGTCCCACTGGCAGCTGGGGGGGACGTCCTGAGAGGGTGAAAGTGTGTCCCTGGGCTCCTCCAAATCCATAGCTGGAGGGCGCATGGGAGACTGGGAAACTGTCAGGAATTCCATGCCTGGACCCCAGGCTCAGGCCAGCATCTGCAAGAGAGATTCAACGTTAAGACTTCTCGAGTGCCAGCATGGTGTCAAGCTCCAGGTGGGTGCTGTTTGTGTAGAACACAGACTCTAGCCCCCACCACACCCTGCAAGTACGGGTCCATTATGGTCTCCAATTCACAGCTGAGGAAATCGAGATGCCAAATAGGCAGTGGTAAGAGAGTGGCTTCATCCGAGTGGCTCGGAACCCGGGCGTACGCCCCTGGACCTGTCAGCCCAGGCCTCTCTCCACCCGTGGACCCTGTTCCCCCAGACTTGGTTCTTCCAAGTCTTCCCTACCACGACCTGTAACCCAGGCTGAAGACACTGCCTGACTACACAGACCCGTTGGGTGCAGGTCCCCGACACCTCGCACTCAGGACCTCAGCCTAAGACTAGATCCAGGACCCCAGACTCAACATTAGAAATCCAAGACGCCAGAAAGCAGAGCCTAGTCTCAAAACCTCCAAGGCCACGCTCAAGACCAACCCCGGACTCTGACCCGGACCTCAGAATCCAGCCTGAAAACGTAACTCCACCTAAAGCTACGAGTGAAGCCCCCGGTCCCCTCGAGGACCCCAGCCTCAAGATTTCAGACCCTCTTCCCCAGCCGCCGCCTCCAGACCCCGCTCTGCCCACCGAGGCACTCACTTCCTAAACCAGGTGGCCTCGGACCTCGAGGCCCCCCAGATTGTCCCCGGCCTGACAGTCCTCCAGCGGCCGCCGCTCCCGGATTCCCGGTTGCGGCGCCGCCAGGTCTGTCCCGGCAGCGCTCGCACCCACTGGGCTTGCGCGCGCGTGCGGAGCCTGCTGGGAAATGTAGTTCGCCCAGCCAGCCTCGCCGCGCGGGAGCCCTGGGTCCCGGAACCAAGGGTTCGAATCCCGGGCCTCTTTATGCAGAGCGGAAGTCGGGCTGGCCTCTGGACTGGTTTCTTCAATTACAAATTGGGGTTAGTGATCACTGCCTGCCATATACGGCTGTGGGCATTATTCCAATGGATGGCAGATGGGAAGAAATAGGACCGGGAAGTATCAGAGTGAGAGGAGGTCTCTTTCGACCCCAGGGACACCGGAAGCAGCGCAGGGACCCTATTGTAGACGGACTTCCGGTTTCGCTCCCAGTTGGGAGGCGGAGGGCACGTCCTGACATAACTTTCCGTCCCTGAAGCTGGAGCTAATAATAGTACCTACCTCCTACTTGTGAGGACTAAAGGAGATCGCGCTGGGAACGGATTTGGCAAAAGGTCTGGAATATAATGAGTCTTAGGTATTAGCTACTTTTAGGCTTTCAGTAATGGCCCATTAAATAGAATCGGGAATGTATAAAGCGTGACCTTAAAGTGATAACTGAAGAAGGACAATAAGTCAATGAAATATTTTTTGAAAGTCCCCTCTTATCAGTAACAGGGTATCTATAAAAGATTAAAGAAGGTACCGTGGACGCCCAAGACTGGAATACTACATTTCCCAGAAATCTGTAGGAGCCTACAACTCCCAAGCACCCCTTGGCCGCTGTCGTCTCCCGGAAAAGTGCACGTGCCGGCAGTCAGCATACGTCATGGCGGCCAGACGCCTCTTTGGGGCTACGTGGACCTGGGCCGGCTGGCGGACCCGGGAGCTCCCGGTCCCTGCCGAGCCTGGAAGATTCCTTATACGGGGCTATGCCAAGAGACCGGGTGAGCTGGGTTGAGAGGGACCCAGAGGAGAGAAGTTTGGGACACTGGGGAAATAGTGCGCAGGCGCTGGATTGGGAGGGGCTTTCTAGAATCATTGCGCAAGCGCAAAGAGGCAGGCGCTGAGCGCTGTGCGCAGGCGCAGTGTGCGATCCCTGGGAGGGGGATTGCACTCAACTGCGCAGGTGCGGGGTGTTTTTCTTGCTGAGGGGTGGGGTTGTCATGATCTTGGGTCCCAGTCCTGTTTGTGGCCTTAACGGCACTGTGTGATCTTGAGCAAATCGCCACCGGAAGTTTGAGGACGACTGGGGCCCATCCGAGCATTAGGCGCTTGAAACAAAGGCAAAACCTCCCGGGTATGGCCTGGCCTGCTCTGTGTTGGGAGGAGGGAGCTGACGAGGGGTTGGGCCTTCAGGACGCGTGCCACCCCTTCTCTGTGAGATGAACAGAGCTGGAGAGCAGTGATCGGTCCCTCCAAGCGTCAGTGTTCGATGCAGGCCATGTCCCACTTAAAATGGTCTTGGGTGCAGCAGACGGTCTAGTCGGGGTGGGGGGCACCAGCGGTAAGAGGGGCAGAAGGGAAGGCAGGCCTCCCGCGGCCGCAGGTGACAGAAATGACTCTCCCACCCCGCAGTCATGAAGGGGGGCAAAGGCGGCAAAGGTGGTGTGGCCAGTGAGGCCCTGAAGGACCCAGACGTGTGCACAGACCCTGTCCGACTCACCACCCATGCCATGGGTGTCAACATCTACAAGGAGGGCCAGGACGTGGTCCTGAAGCCAGATGCAGAGTACCCTGAGTGGTGAGTGAGCCAGGCTGGAGAGCCCAGAGAGCGCGTGAGGGGGTGAAGAGGGTCTGGCTGATCAAATCTGAGGTTTCTGTGGGTCCTCCCTGGAGGAGGGAGGCAGGACTCAAGACCCCAGTGGGTGGAAGGAGCTTTAAAGGTGGAGGGAATAGTCAGTGCAAAGGCCCTGGGGCAGGACTGCACCTGGTTTGTTAGAACAGCAGGAAGTGAAGGCGTCGCATAGAGGGAGATGAGGCGGGGAGGTGATGGATCTCGGCCCTCACAGGGCTACGGGGGATGCAGGGAAGACTTTGCTCTTGGTCCCAGGACCAGTAGCAGGACATAGAAGCCATTGACTGTGCTGATCCTTAAAGCTTAGGGACAGTTCAGAAATGTTGAGTGAGTGGGTGGGGTCTGTACTGCAGAAGTACAGACAGTGACCAGGAGGCAGAAGACTCTGGGCGTCCCCACCTCAGATACCAGCGCTACTGGGATGGGGCAGCTTTTTCCCCAGCCAGGATCCCAGCTCGGGGTGGGGAGGTCATGCCCAGGGAGGTCACCACCGCCACCATGTGGCTGGGCTGCGGGGCCCAGGCTGCTGCCACCTCTGCCCACGGCGCCCCGGGTGGGGGGCCCTCTGGGGGCGTGCCTTGCCTGATAACTGCCCACGCCACGGCAGGCTGTTCCAGATGAGCGTGGGCCCCCCCAAGAAGCTGGAGGAGCTGGACCCCGAGACTCGGGAGTACTGGCGGCTGCTGCGGAAACACAACATCTGGCGTCACAACCGCCTGAGCAAGAACCGGAAGTTCTAGCGGGCCAGCAGCCGGCCGCCCGGAGTGCTGGGACCTTGCCAGGCCCCGGGGGAGGACCCCGCGGCACGCCTCGGCTTCTCCACCTGGCCTCCACGGGAGACTTTATCTTCCTGGAGAAAACGGGGTTTTCTGAGGACAGAGGAGACCCCTGAGCTGGTGCGCATTTGGTCCCCACGGCAAGGCTGGATCAGGGCCCTGGGGGCGTCCCTGGCAGGCCCTGGATGCTGCTGGTGCTGTCTCGGGCGGGTGGGCAGGGTGGCAGGCCCAGGGGCTGGGGGGTGAGGGGGTGCCTCAGGCCCGCGGCTCCAGGGGGAGGCTTTTCTAGACACCTCTCAGTTGTAGGGGACTCAACGCTGTTCCCAACTCTGCGACCATGGGAGAGAGACTGAAGCGTCTGGGGCGGGCTCTCCCTTCGGGTGTGCTGGGCTCGGGGGTTCCGGTATCCAGATGGCCTGCTCCCTCTGGCTCTGGGTCCTTGTCGCCCCAGTGGGTAGTTCCTGGACGGGGGTAGCTCCAGGACTCCTGGCGGACACCCCCTACCTGGTTTAGCAAGCCCAGCCAGAGGGATGGGACTTCCTTCTCCTTCCTACTAAGGTCACGCGTTCTCTGCATTGGCCATTTGAGCCCCGGGACCTAGGTCTACCCACCGTCCTCCTGTCACCCCACTCGTGCCCGGGGCTCAACCTCTCCTGCGCCCACCCCACCAGGAAATGCATCGGGAGTCTTGCATTGGGCCCGTGAACCTGGCCCACAGCCTCAGTGAGAACCAGCTCCGAGCGGTCCCACTTCTGTCCTGCCTGGCTAGGGGCAGGGGCTCCAGGGCCAGGCCGGAGAGGGTGTGTGATTGCAGGGGTGGAGTGGCGGATTCGGGTACCACCGGGGGGGCTGAACCAGGGCCCTCCAGGCCCCTCTGTGCTGTCTTGTCTAGCGGGGTGGGCAGGGCTGGGGGCTAGTTCTGCCTCCTCCCAGGAAACCCAGAGCCCTCATCCGCTTAGGAGGACCGCGCCAAGCAGATTACCTGCCCGCCCTGGTGGCCCGTCTAGAGCAGGTCCCAACCCTCCCGCCCGGGGAGCTCCACGACTCTCAGGGTAGAAACAGTTGTAATGGTCACAAAGCCGGACCAGACCTGCCTCCTGTCACCTCCCTGCCCGCGCCTTGCTCATTGATCAGCCCCAGGGACCTCCTCCTGGTGGTTCCTCCCACGCAGTGGGCCCAGTCCTGCCCCAGGGCGTTTGGACGTGCCGTTCCCTCTGCCTGGGTGGCTCTTCCCCCAGGTGTCCCCATGGCTCGCTCTTTTACCTCCTCCAGTTCCCTGATGTCACCTCCAAGAGGCCCACAACTGCCCTGTTAAACGTCAGTCCTGCCACACATTCGATTGCCTCTTGTCTTGCCTTCCCTCAGCACTTAAAGCCAGCGGGCGCTTGGCGTACGTGTGTTTATTCAGTTGTGTTGCTGGTCTCCAGCGGGGCTCCGTCAGGCCAGGGGTTTTTATCTGTTCGCCAGCGTGTCTGCACTGCATGGCGGGTGGATGGTTGGGTGGGTAGATGGATGGATGGTTGGTGGGTGGGTGGGTGGCGGCTGGTTGGGCAGGTGAGCGGCCCAGCTGCCACAAAGCAAAGAACGCGCGGCCATGGGACTTATGTATGAGATGCCAGCTGAGCTGAGCTGAGCAGACCAGCTTGAACCCCAGCGGGTATGTGCTGGCGTGAGGACCCAGCAGTGAGCCTGTGGTCCCTTCACAGACCAAGCTCAGACAGGGCGCTGGTCGCCTGCAGCTTCTGCCCTTGAGCCCCTCCCCTCCGTCGTGACCCCTGCTGCCGCGTCCCATGGGGAGGTCCCCTGTCGTGCTGACGCTAGGCAGCCCCAAGCCTGATCACATCCTGTTCCTTGCCCTCCATGGCCTCCTTGTCCTGGGGTCCATCTGAGTTCTGGGGAGGCTGGTCGACAAGCCTGGCCTCTCTGGGCCTCAGTTTCCTCACCCACAAAGCAGCTGTGTGAGGGGTGCAGCGACGGGCCCCGGTGGACGCACGGAGTAAAAGCAGGGGTTTCTCTGCGAGCAGGAGGCCCAAGGGCTGGGGCTCAGCTGTGAAGGACGAGCGCGGGCAGGGGACATGGGTGCAGGAGTGCAGCTTGCGATGGCCTCACTGTCCCAGAGCCTCACCGTGCACCCCACGCCAGTCTGGCAGATGGGGAGGCCGAGGCCCCGGGCCAGGCCATCTCGTTCCTGAGATGGTGCCAGTCTCCCTGCAGGGCCGGCTGGGGGTGGGGGCTCCAGCATGGGTGGCCACGGACAGGCAGAGAAGAGAGGGCTGGGTGGGCCCCACTCAGGCTGGGGGCCAAGCCCTGTCCAGAACCTGTGCGTGCTCCTTGGCCAGCAGCCGCAAGGATGCCTCCTCCAGGGGGAAGCCCTCCGTGAAGGCTGGACCAAAGGCATGGGGCCCAAAGGGTGACTGCAGCCCTGGGCCCGGGCCCAGGAGGCGCGGGAGGCCTGGCACAGCCGGGGGCCCGGGGCCCAGCCAGGGCTCAAGGGGCAGTGGCATGGCTGGGGGGCGGGCAAACGGCAGTCCTGGGGCCTCAGGGAGCCTTGGGGCTGCCACAGCCCCGGAGCCTGACTCCAGACGCTCCTGGCGGCGCCACTTAGCCCGGCGGTTCTGGAACCACACCTGGAGGTAGCGAGAGGGGTGCTCCCAGTTGATGACCCGAGAGGAGGAGCCAGCCCTCTCTTCCCCACCCCGCTGTGTCCTTCGGGGCTCCCAGCTCTGCAGGGTTCTGCCTGCTGTCTGGCTTGACTCCCACCTGCTGCAGTGCCGACATACCGTTACCTGTCTCGAAGGGTCCCCCAAGCCCCCCACCAAATCAGCCCCAAGTCTTCCGAAACTAAGCCCTCCTCGCCACTCCGCCGAGCCCCTCAGGCTCCGCAGCCTCCTTGGCCCTGGGCACCGGGTCCAAGCCGCTCGGCTTGGCAGTGGACGCCCTTCACAAGCTCTGTCTCAGCCGCGCTCTGCCTCCACGGCCACCGGCTCTGCACCAGCGGGAAGTGTCCCCAGTGCAACCTGTCCCACAGCTCAGCTTGCGCTCCTGGATGCCTAGAGATCACCCATTCTCCTTTCTTTCTATTTTATTTTAACGTAATCTCTACACCCAGTGTGGGGCTCGAACTCACAACCTTGAGGTCAGGAGTCACATGCTCCAGTAGCCAAGCCAGCCAGACATCCCAGTCTTTTCTCCTTTCTAACTGGAAAACTCCTACTCAAACGCTAAGGTCCCAGTCCCACTTCCCCTCCTCTGGGAAGTCTTCCCAGCTTCGAGATCTCAGGCCTACACACCAGGAGGGTCCCAGTGCTGCTCTGGCCCCCTCCCGGGGCCGTGGCCGCCCTCACCTGCACGCGCACCTCGGGCAGGTGCACCTTGGCCGCCAGCTCCTCGCGGCTGTAAACGTCTGGGTAGTGGGAGGCCTCGAAGGCCCTCTCCAGCTGGTGCAGCTGGTACGTGGTGAAGGTCGTGCGGTTCCTCCGGTGCTTCTTCTTGGGGGCCTCCTCGCCCGGGCCCGGCCCCCCACCCTCCGCCGCCGGCCCCTCGCCGGGGCTCAGGAACATGGCTTCTCCTCGCCCCACCTGGCCGGGCGGCAGCAGGACAAAAGGTGGTGAGACAGCAGCAGGGACTGCCAGCCAGGGAGGGCAGGGGAGCCCCCGGCATCCGCTGGGCCTGGGGTCAGATGCACCTTCCTTCCGCCTCCCCGCCCCCCTGGCCCTCGGGTTGCTCTCGCTGTCCGTCCGTCTCCTCTCTGTGTGTCTGTCCTTCCACCTCTAGTCCCACTTCCCCACTCGAGCCCTCCCTGACGGCCTCCATCGACCTACAGCTCAGCTTTGGTCGGTCTGTCTGTCCATCCCTCCGTGTGCCTGGGACCCCCAGGAAGGCAGGAGGCTGCCCCCACAGTCCTCCGTCCTGGGGTGGGGGCCTCACTGGACCTCCAGCTGCCACTGCGCCCACCTGCCCTGTACTCACCACCCCCAGCAGCCCGGCAATGGCCCCAGTATCCACGCAGCTCCGGCCCCAGCGGGCCCAGCACCCCGTCTGCTGCTGGCCTGGCCCTGCCCGATGGGGCGGGGAGCGGGCTGGGGTCCAGTGAGGGGAAGATTAGCGCGAGGTGATTAATTGAGGCGGCCCCTCCCGCCCGGGCACTGGCTGCTCTGAGCTGCAGAGGGCGGGCACGGGGGAGGAAGGCTGGTGTGTGTGTGGGGGGTGACCACGGGCCTGGGTCCACTTCCCCTCACAGGACACCAGCAAGGGTCTCCCCTTCTCGGGGCCTCAGTTTCCCTAGCTGTAGAAGGGTGACATCAGGACTTCCCTGATGGGGCTCTCCTGGGGCGAGGAGGGACGCCAAGTAGAGAGCATTGCACAGCAACTGGCACACAGCAGGTGCTCAGAGCCCTCCACTACTATTTTTATCAGCTGGGGCCACAGAAATTTCCTCCCAGACACACAGATGGTGACAGGGGTGGGGGAAGCCAAGGTCCTGACAGGGGAAGGCCATTCCAGTTGGCTCCCTGAGACGCCGAGCTGACCAGGGAGTAGGGGTCATTTTCGCTGGGTTTTGAGGAATGAATAGAAGTTCACTCTTCATTCATTCAGTGAATGCTACTGAGCACTTACTGTATCCTGGGTACTGTTCATAGCAGTGAACAGAACACATCTTGGAGCTGACATGCCAGTAGGGGAGACAGACAATCCGCAAAGAAGACAGAGCATGTCAGGTGCTCCCAAGGCCAGTGAGAAAACCCCAGCAGGGGAGGGAGGGGGAACAGAGGGGGGATTGCTCTTTTAGAGAAAGTCAGCAGAATGGGGGGTGGAGGTCAAGGCTGAGATGGGAGACACAGCTCTGCATGAAGGGGAGGTCACCAGGGAACCACGGAACGTTGTGGAGCAGGGCGGGAGGCATTCAGATGGACGCATCTATTGTGAGCAAGATGGGAGGCTGGGAGGTGGGCAAGGGCTCTGGGGACGGACATGGTGGGGAGAGGGGGGCACAGGAACAATCCTCCGGGAGAAAGTTGGGGAACAGGGAGGAACTGGTGATACCCAGACCCCCATTTTGGGGACAGGGGGATGACAAGATTGTCCCAGAGGCAGTGGCCCAAGAGCCAGAGCAGGTCCCAGGGGAAGGCCCTGAGGCTGGTTTGCCCACCCCAGCCCCCACCCACCCAAAGAGCCTGGTGCCCAAGAGGAGGGGAATCTGGGGTTGGGGGGTTAAGGTGAGGCCAACGAAAGTGTCTGATGGATTCAGAGACACGGAGGACGGGAGGGAGACTGTCTCTGCGGAGGGAGGCAGGAGGCCCAGGCCCGTGTACGGGCCAGGAAGCAAGTGCGAGGAAGACAGGGCCCCTGCCCGGATGTTGGCTCTGTAGGGAGAGGGGCGCAGGAAGGAGAGACAGACTTGTGGGCACCCCCGTGAACGGGGCACCAGGCCCCGGAGGAGTGGGTCCACCTGCGCGCACTAATGGCCTTGGATGAGGAACCAGCTGTGGCTCCTGCTGAGGGCCAGGAACAGGGGTCGGGCCTCAGTGCCCAGCAGTGGGGGAAGCCGGGCAGGGGGCCCCAGCCATCCTCAGCCCAGGCGGGAGGGGTGGCTGGTGCTTCCCAAGGCTCCCTGGGGCCCCGTGAGCCCAGCTGCCCTGTCTGGAGCCCTGAGGTGGGCTCCAGGCTCTGGAGCGGGGGGGCACGAGGCCTGCAGTAGAGGGCGGGTGCGGGGGGGGGGTCCCTAAGTCTGTAATTGCTTCATTACTAACGAGCTGCTCTGTTCTCAGGCTCCAATTAACTAATTGGCCCCGGGTGGGTTAAGAGGCTGCAGGAGGGATCTGGGCCTTAGGCGCTGGGGCTTTGGTGGCTTAGCGGACTGGGCTGAAGGTGCAGACGCTGTGTCAGCTTAGAGGACAGGATTAGGGGCGGGGTGGGGCGGGGCCATGCAACCCCTCCAGCTGGATTGGGTGGGGGTCAGGCCACGCTCAGCCCCACTGGCCTCCCTTCCTTGTTTCTCCCCCAGGAAGAATCCTGAAGCCCCTTCAGGTGCTGGTGGGGAAACTGAGGCCAGAGGATGGGCAGGGTTTCTGGGGGGCACCACAGGCATTCAGTGTGACCTTGTGAAAGTCCTGGAGCCTCAGCTGGAGGTGGGCCAGCCAAAGGGGGAGGGTGTGCCGTGGTCTGGCGATCCCTCCCCAGCCCTAGCTTGGGGGTTCCTGGGGTGAAGACCACCCCAGCCTGGCCAGAGACCCCTCCAGACATCCTAGAAGCTTGGCTGGATGGAAACACCAGTTGAGCTGGGGGGTGACGGTCAGTCACAGCAGTAACTGAGCCTGTGTGCGTGGAGCCCTGGGCTGGTGTGAGCCTTCAGATCCCCACTGCTACCCCGAAAAGATGCCTGCTCATGGAGGGGCTGCTGGAGCCCAGGCTGGGGGACCCCTTCCCCTGCTCACCAGATGCACTAACGTATAGCACTAACGTCCCCCTCATCCTGGAAATGCTCTCAGGTCGGATGGTTGGTCACCACAGGTCAGGGCCACAAAGCTCAGAACCTGGGGGTCCAAGCCCGAGTACCAAATTCTGTGTGGTGTGTGGACAAGAGGGGCAGGGCCACACTTGGCAGCCAGTCTCCCCCGGAGTCACTGGTCTAGAAGCACCACGAGGGCAGACCCTCCCCGGCTCCCTCTTGCCCACCCTGAGGGGCAAGGGCTGGGGCAGAGGCGGCAGAGGCATCACCCCAATACGGCGGTGGGGGTACCACAGTGGGAATCATGGTCCTAAGTAGGTCCGCGGGGGTGGCCGTGATACGGGCCTGGGGGGGGGGTCTCCGGCTCCATCCCTGGGGACCTGTGTCCCTGCGGTGGCTGCAGGATCCCAGCTGGGCAGGGCCCTCAGTGGGTAGACACCGGGCAGCCGGATGGCCGCGGGCTGAGCGATGGTGGCGGGGGGTCCCATGGGGTGCAGGACGCCAAGGGCCGCAGAGAGACTCAGACACCGGCCGTCCTTGGAAAGCAGTCTTTATGGAGGGCTGACCCCTCGCCTCCCCGGTCCGCGGTGCCCACGGGCTGCCTAGAGTCCCCTGCAGGCACCTGCCCCTGCTGCGAGCCAGACGGGCCGCTCACTGGTCCTGACCCTCTTCAGGCCTGGCCGTACCCCCACCCCGTGCCCTTCATTCTCCTCTGGGGCCTGAGGCCCCAATGGGCAGGGTCAGGGCTCCTGGCTTCGGGGCAAGGGACAACTGTCCGCGTCCTGGCCCCCGACCGGGGCCGAGGCGCCTACGCTGCGCAGTTCCCGGGCCAGCTTCTCTGCCAGTTTCCGGAAGGGCGGCCGGCGGGCAGGCTCAGCCTCCCAGCAGCTGCCCATGATGGCATGGATGGGGCCCGGGCAGCCCTCAGGGGGCTCCATGCGGTACCCCTTCTCCACGGCCTCAGACACCTCCTTCAGCGACTGTGGGCAGAGGGCACGACGGCGTGGCTAGGGTCAGGGCCACAGTCGTCAGACCCGCAGGGAGCCCAGAGCCTCCCCCCAGGCCCCACTCACCATCTTGGGGTATGGAGCCCGGCCGTATGAGAACACCTCCCACAGAAGCACCCCAAAACTCCACACATCCGACTTGCTGGAGAACTTCTATGGGGCCCAGGATCAGGGTGAGGAGGGGCCCCAGCTTCCTCCAGGAAGTCCTCCTGGGCTCACCTTCACTCTCTGGTCTCCTCCCAACAGACCACTCCCTCTGAACCTCCCCCAGCCAAGGGGGACTCAGACCCAGTGCAGGGAAGGGTCCTTGGTATTCTCGGGCCCAGGACAGAGCCTGTCTGTTTCAGAAATGGGGAAACCCGGGCCCAGAGAGGTTCACACAAGGGAGAGGCCAAACGCGCTAAAAGGGGACGACCGTGGGTCAAGTGCTCACTGGGGCGGTAGAGCCATTCCCTTAAGAGAGGTCCAGAGAAAATGAGAGCTGTGCCCAGGGTCACAGAGCAGGTGGGACCAGGGCTTTGAGGGTCCCAGGGGCGGTGGGGGGCTCACCCCGTGTTTGAGAGCCTCGGGCGCCGTCCACTTGACGGGCAGCCGGCTTGCGTCCAGCCCCTTCCGCTCGGCTTTGGCCAGGCCAAAGTCGCTGACCTTGGCCACCAGGTCCTCGGAAATGAGGATGTTGCGGGCGGCAAGGTCTCGGTGCACCAGCTTCTTGCTCTCCAGGTATTCCATGCCCTCGGCCACGTGCCTGGGGAGGGGGCGGAGCCCGAGGCGGGGGTGGCTCCGAGCCTCAGTGTCCCCTTGACCCTGGAGGCCCCCCACTCCACCCTGCCCCGGGAGCCCCACTCACAAGGAAAACTGGAGGAGCTGGGGGGTGCTCACGAGGGCCCGGCCCCGTGTGCGCAGAAAGTTCACCAGGTTGCCCTGCGGGGGAGGGAGATGGGCCTGGGGGGCTCGAGGCTGCTCGGCGGCGCCCCCCAGGCCCCGAGGGCACCTCAGGCCTCACCCCCACCTTGCTCACGTGCTCCATGACGATGTAGAGCCCCTGGTGCAGGATAACGCCCAGCAGACGCACCAGGTTCTTATGCTGCATCTTCCTGGGGGGGCCGGCAGGTGGGCGTGAGGGCTCGGCCGAGACCCCGCCCCCACGACGCCCCGCCCCCGCCCCGCCCCCAACTCACGTCATCACTGCCGTCTCGTCCAGGAAGGCCTGGGCGGTCACATCACACTTGATATTCTTCACGGCCACCTTCTGGCCCAGGTACTCACCCTGCAGGACCGCTGTGGGGAGAACGGGCGTAGGAATGCCCACCTACCCCGACCCCCACGCACCCCAACACCGCTGCGGGGCCCCAGGCCCCGAAACCCTTCATGCCTACAAGCTGATCCGAGACAAGCACGAAGCATTTGCCGCTCGGGGGCCAAATTTTCAGAGGGCACCCCGCTTCTGCCGGGCCCCCAAGTTCAGGGACGCCTGGGTGGCTCAGTCGGTTAAGGCCCCTAAGTTCTGGTGGTTTTTAGAGTTTTAAATATTTGGGGGAAAAAATCAAAAGAAGAATACTACTTTGCAACAAAGGAAAATTACAAGGCGCTCCCATGTCAGCGGCCGCAAATAAAGTTTTATTGGTACACGGCCCTGCCCATTCATTTACCTGTGTCTGCGGCTGCTTTCCTGCCACAAAGGCGGAGCTGAACACGGACTCAGACTGTCTGGCCCGAAACACCTGGAATAGGTGCACTCGGGCCCTTTACAGAGAAGGGAAGCTGACCCCTGACCTCAGTAAGCCCCAGAGCCTTCCAGGGGAACAGCTCCCAGGAGGGGCGTTCCAAGCACAGAGCCTGGAGGTGTGAAGGCATCACGCACCACCGCCAAGCGCCTCCCGGAGCTGACATCAGCCCCTCACAGAGCAGACGCTAACCTGGGGATGAATTACTTCACCCCCCAGTGATTCCTAAACCTGAACACGCCCCCCTCCCCCCTTCAGCCTCTGACCCAGGCCTCCACTCACCTCCAAACTCACCCTCTCCAATCTGTGCGCCCAGCGTCAAATGCTGCAGGTTCAGTAACCAGCCAGCTGTGGGGTGGGGACGGGGTCACAGGGGAATGGGCCCCACCTGGCGAGAAGCCGGGTGGTGTCCCCCGCTGCGTCCCAGCCGGGGCACACATACAGCTGCTCCCAGCAACGGCCTGAGACCCCCCACTCCCAGCCCTGTTATCAAGTGCTGGAAAGCAGCAGAGCCTGTCTACCCCAGGATGACCTGAGGAAAGGGGTTATGGGGGGGTGGACCCCAGGCTTGCTCTCCAGGAATGCCCCATCAGGTCCAGGGGGTGATGTTGACAAACCCTTTAGGGCTGCCCTTCTCACTTCTACCTGAACACTGTGTCCCTCCAAATATCCAGAGGCTCTTCCCTTTAAAGTCCTGTACCTCTGGCCACCCAGGATACACACCAAAAAATACAAGAGACACGGAGACCAGTAAAGCTTCTGGAATCTTCTGGCATCGTTTCCAGAATCTTCTAGAATCTTCCAGTGCTCTAAAGGGCCATCTGGGGTCCAGCCTCCCTGATTCCCTGTCTCAAACATGCCTGTGTTCTCCCGTCCTCTCTCCTCTAGTAGGTTCTTTAGTCCCCTTCCCCTTCCTCCCCAAAGCCTCCCCTCCAAATCACAAGCCCTTAGTCATGATCAAGGACAGGGACACCAGCCTCCCCTCGGGGCCATCCCCGAATCATCCAGATTTCCCTGGGAGAGACAGACACCATCATCAGGTTCGGGAGGAGTGGCCGTGGGAGGGGGCATTCGCTCAGGGCCTTGAGCATCGAAGATCTCGTTATTGGCGGGTAGGGGAGCACTTCAGGTGGAGGGAACAGAAAGCACGATAGCAGAGAGGCCAGAGAGGAAAACCAGGAGGCAAGCAAAAGAGGAAGGGTTTGTAGGTGAATGGAGAGAGATCGCTCAGCCACAAGGGAAGGTTCTGGAAGGCAGGAGAGCGACGTGGGTGGATTTTCATGGTAGAAAGTCACTTCTGGAGGCCCAGAGGCAGGGGTCCCATGGAAGAGGTGGCCTGGTGGGACGGTCTGAGGCCAGACTGGGGCTGGGGTTCAGGCCTTTGCCCCAGGCGACAGGGCAGATGATGGGGACACGGAAGCAGCAGCAGGGGTGGGAATTCACTCCTTGTGGGCTTGTGGGCGTCTGTGGGTGCCCCTGCCTGACCTGAGGGCTGCCCCAGGTCTTTCGCTCACAGTGCCGGCACAGCCACATGCTCATGCAACTGTGGTCTTGGCCGCGGGCCCCCTGGGGAGGGGGAGGTCCCTACCTTTGGCCAGCTCCTCCTCTGCTGACTTGGTGCCCTGCTTCCTCTTGGGTTTCACTAGCTTCGTGCAGATGGCCCCCTTGTCCTTGCTGTAGTGCTGCGGGGTGGGGTTGGGGCAGAGGCAGCGGTGAGCCTGGCCCCCTCCACGGGGAGGGGGGGATGGGGAGGGGGTTGGCAGGGAACCCCTGCCTTCTGTGCCCTCCCCAGCGGGGACTCTCTGAGTGGGGCGGGCAGGAGCCAGGGAGAACGGCTTCGCTTCCCACCCAGGGAGTTGGACTGGTTTCCATGGGAACGGAAAGGATCCAAGCTAGGAAACAGGAGGATCCTGGGGAAGGTGGGGCGGTGGTCTGTGGATTAGTGTCGACAGGGAGGTTCCTAGGGGTGCCCAGAGGAAACACCCCAGTCCCTCCCAAGAGGTGGACCCGGAGACCCAGACCAGCTGCAGGGCTGGTGGTCTGCAGGGAACAGCCGCTCCTTCCCGCACTGGGACTGAGCAGGAAGCTTTGGGTGTCCCGGGCCCAGCAGTTGCCGGAATCGGGCGGAGGGGGGTGCGGGGTGCGGGGTGCGAGGTCCAGGTGCGGTCCCTCCGCCTCCAGCGTGCAGACCCTGCGGCTCGGGGGCCGGGCGAGGGGGCGGGGTCCCGGGGTTGGAAGGGGGCGGGGCCTGCGGCGGCCACACCTCCACCATGTCCATGAGGTTGCAGAAGCACACGGCCTCGTCGATGGTCAGGTGACCGTCGCGGTGCAGCACGCGGTAGTGGATGACGTCGCGGCCGAAGCTGACGCACAGCACGTAGTCGCCGGGGTGCCGCGCCGACTCGCGCACCAGGAACAGCCCGTCTTCGGGCGGCTGCAGCTGCTGCACGGCCTCGTGGCCCGAGATCTTCCCGTGGAACCACCTGCGGCCGCGCGGGAGGGCACGCTAGGGCCAGGCGGCCCCGGCCCCCCTGCCGCCCATCCCGGGCGGTCCCCAGACCCACCCCAGGCCGTCCCCATACTCACGGCATGAGGCTGAGCTTGGGGTCGGCCGACAGGGCCTCTCGCTCCCGCAGCGCCCCGGCCGCCAGCAGGCCCTCCTGCCCGCTGGCGTGGTGCTTGGCGCGGTACCAGCTCTTGCTCTGCAGGGAGGGAGCCAGGAGTCGGGGCCGGAGGCATGGGGGGGCCGGGTCCCGGCAGAGACACACCTCACCGCCCGCGCCCAGGCCCTCCAGCCACCACTCACCTCGCAGGCCTCCAGGATCGTGACCACGTCACCCTTGTGGAAGGCCAGCTCTCCCGGCTTGGGGCGCGTGTGCTCACACTTGGTGATGCATTGGGTGCCTGGGGCCCAGCGCCTCTGAGAGGTGGGGGAAGAGGTGGGGGAGGGGCAAAGGGGCATGAAGGAGAGGCCCAGGGAGAGAAAGAAGTAGAAACTGGGCAAAAGATAGCAGGGCAGAGACGGAATCCAGAGGGAGCAGCCAGGACAGAAATCTCACTCAAAAACTCCGGGGCCCAAACCAGAAGGTCAGGAAGAAAAGGTGACAGAAATGTAGCATCAGGTGACAGTGAAAAAGTGTGCAGCACTGGCTGAAGGGGTCTGAGTCCCAGAGGACAGCCCCCCCGACATGGGGCTGAGGTCCCGCGGGTGTGGGCCAGGTGGAGGATGGTCCAGGACCCCAGCGCCTGGGTTGGGTGTACTCACCGTTGGCATCCTGGCTGAGATGAACGCGGGATGCCAGGCACGGAGGAAGCGGGGGCTCACCTGGGGGCAGGCAGAGAGCAGCTGGAGAGCCCCGATCTGAGGCAGACTGGGGCCCAAGGCCATTACTAACTAATCACTTCCTGCCCAGGCCAGGGGGAGGCAAGGGCGGGAGGGCATCCCCATCGGGGGCTCCAGGTGGTGGCTCCCCAAAGCCTCTCTGGGGAGGTGGTCTTTACCCACAGGAGTTCCTTATCAGTCACGGCCATGGAACATCAGCAAGGAAACCATAGAGTCCGGCCCCGCCATTGTCCCGAAAGGGCAACGGGGCCACAAGGTGGGCCCAGAGTGAGTGGCCATAGGGTGGGGAGGGGAGAAGTGCCTGCTGGCTCAGGCCCCAGTGGCCACACAGTGGGTGGGGACCGTGGTGCCACCTAATTGAGCTTGGCTCTTCCTCTTTCCTGATAAGTGGGCAGGGGCAGGGCGAGGAAACAGAAGGTGATTCAAGGTCATTCCCAAGTATCTCTGGACCTAGGGTGGGGCCGGGAGGGGGTGGGGGAGGGGGCATGCAGCCCTACTGGGCTCCTCTGGCCATCTGCAGAGCCTCTCTGATGCCCCCAGTCCCAACACTGACCTAGGACAGACAAGCGGCCTCTCACTGCTGCTGGGGAAGGGGCTTGTCTACCCCCTTCCTCCTCCTTGGACGCTACAGCAGGTGGCTGGGCAGTGGGGATGGTCGAGGGGGACAAGCCTCTGACCCTCCAGTATTACCCCCATAAACCCCCAGCCCCATGTGCACTCACACGCATACTGATCCATGTACACACGAGCACACACAGAAACACATGGGGCTTGGACACAGGTGGACACAGGTACCCACAGGTACGCGGGTATGCAAGCAAAAGCACGTTCACCTAGAGACAGGTGTGTACACTTCTACGCATGTACACACACCGGCAGACTCTCAGACATCCAGAAATGTGTGTACCTGTCCCACCCCCCACACCCAGCGCACACACAGACCCACACTTGAACACCTGGGCGCCAGCCGCGGGGCGCCAGACACTGGGCCACCCCGGCACGCAGAGCTACACGCAGGGCCGCGCACACGCATCTCGGCCACACGCGAACATCCCTCCACGTGGACGCGCGCATACACACACCCGGGAGCTCGCAGACGCGCACACTCGCGCCCAGAAAAACACCCCCACCCTGCGCCCGATCGCCTCTAACCACCCGCTACCCCAGCCGCGTACCCGCTGCGCACGCCGCCGGACGCGCACTCTCGCGCTCACACCGGCCTCTCCACCGAACGCCCGGGACGCCCCCGGAGCCCTCGGGGTTCCCCCCGACACCCCGCCACTGCCCCGCAGTCTCTCCCCTCACCCCCACCTCTCCTCCACCCCCCAGCCACCGCGCTCACCTGTTCAGGGGGCGCCCCTGGGCCGCGCCCCGCGCCCACACCCAGGAGGGCCCCCGCGCGCTGGCTGCGCACCCCGAGGCAGCCCTGGCTGCACAACTTGGAACAAGTTGCTCCGTTTCCTCATTTTGGGGTGGGGGGAGGAGGGCTGGGGGAGCGGGGGAGCGGGAGGCGCCGCGGCCCGGGAGGCCCCCGCAGGTCCTAGCGCCGGCCGCACTGCGGTTTGCTCCGCGAGCCGCCGCCGCCGCCGCCGGCCCCTCCCCGCCCCGCCCCGCCCCTGAGGCCCCCGGCGCCTCCCGCCCCACTGGGGCGGGGGCCGGGGGCAGTCGCCCGCTCCACGCTGCTCCCTGGCACCGTGCCGCGGGGCGCGTACCCCGCCCACCCGGGAAACGGTGGCCTTGGAGCGCGGAGCGGGTGCCACGCACAGGGCGGGGAATGGGGAGAGTGAGCTGACCGTCTGGGGCGATAAGCAAGCCACAGAGCCCGCACTATGCCTCGGACCCTTCGGACTTCGGTACGCCCTTCTCATCCACCTCCTCTGCCAAGACGGTTGTTGGTGCTGGCGTCTGGCGCAGAGCGATTGCTCAAGAATGTCACTGGTCATAGGTTTGTTAGGGTCACCGGCAACATTAGGGGGACCTGAGGAACCGGAGGCCTCCTGGTGGAGCCTGCCCGGGGTCAGCCCCGCTGGTGCCCGGGGTTCTAGGGCCGGCGGCGCGGTCTTCGACCTCAGACGACGGTTTGATGAGCATTTGCTGGGCGCCGGACGGGCCCCAGGGCACGCAGCCCAGCAGTCGCTCCGCTTCTGCCGGCCGAGTCCGTTGGACAAGGCCGGCTCTCGTCAGGAGGCGGGTGAAGGCCCAGGAAGCCCAGGGAGCCCGAGTCCCGTTCAATCTTCTGTCAGCCCAAAGGTCTAAGTGTCTGGCTCCAAGGCATCATGTGACTTCTCAGGACACAGGCCCAGTTACAGAATTGCAAAACATCCCTATTATGGAACATTCTAGAACAAAAACTAGGAAATTGTATGTGTTGAGGTTCTAGAATCCACAGCTGTTGAAACCCACCATCAACACCACTGTATGACTCAACCCAAAGGGCACGTCCCCTCCTCTCTCTCCTCTCCTCTCTCCTCTCCTCTCCCGTTATACTGGAGAGAATAAGCCCACAGGGAAAGTTCCAAAAGGGGACCCTCCCAACAGCTCCGATTATCCCCAGCGAGGGCAGTGGGCGGGAGGAGAGGGAGGGAGAAGACCTCTTTCCTTTGATGTGGTGGAATTCACCGTAAGGGCTGATGTCAACTGGGGGGATATCCCAGCATATTTCCACTAAGCAGGGCTCCCCCGGCTGGGCTGTGGGAGAGTCCCAGTATGGCCACACCTCCCAGCTATGGGCCCTGCTGTGGACCCAGGGCTGGGGGACACTGCAGCCAGCATTCAGTTGGGTCAGGGGCCACCATATATGGCAAACCATCATCACTTGCCTGAAATAGAAACATCAAAGTGGCCACAGGAAATCCAGTAACACGGGTAGCTTCAGACCAGAGGCTGCAGACAGAGGTCCCATGATGGAGGCCTGCCTGCTCTGCTCAGCAAGGACAGGAGCCTATGTGTAACCCCCTGGGAGGCCCTAGCACCCGGAGAGACTTTCTCCTTGATGCAGTCGGGGAGACAGGGAGAGGGTTGAAAGGGGCTGTTTTGCCCCCCTGTGAACTCATACTTAGTGTCTGAGTCATACCTAAGTTTTCCCCAGGACCCCAGGGATCCTTGTCCCACGCTCTGGAAGGCCCTACCCGAGAAGGAGGGATCAGAGGAATCACAGGTTTGCAGAATGGAAAGCGACAGACGTCAGCGGACAGCTCCAGGTTCCCAAATCTCCAAGGGTTAACCTGGAGTGTGGGGGGCCGCCCCCCCTCAGCATATGGGCACGGGGTCCTGAGCTGTTCCTGCCTCTGGGGAGATAGGTTTGTGTCCTTGGTGTCTTTGGGTCAGAGCTACAGAAGGGGTGAACTTCCCACTCCTGAAAGCATTCAAGAATTGGCCCCTTGTGGGGCGCCTGAGTGGCTCAGCAGGTTAAGCCTCTGCCTTCAGCTCGGGTCATGATCTCAGGGTTCTGGGATCGAGCCCCGCATTGGGCTCTCTGCTCGGCGGGGAGCCTGCTTCCTCCTCTCTCTCTGCCTACGTGTGATCTGTCTGTCAAATAAATAAATAAAATCTTAAAAAAATAATAACTTAAGCAATAGAATATCTATCATTCCTTGTAAACTCATTACATAAAAACCTAATCAATATCATCATTTTTTAAAAAAAAAGGCATTGGCCACTGGGAATCTCAAAGACTAAATGGGTATTGCAGATCCCAGAGGTGGCAACCCCCGTTTCTCCTCCTCCTCCCAGGAGTGGGGGGACTAGTCCCTTCCTTCTACCAGCCTGAAGCCAGCTGGTAGCCACACCATCAGACAGGACTCCAGGAGGACCCAGTCCCGGGCTCCTCAGCCTCCAGACTTCTACCCTGTTGACTTGACTCCAGAAATTCTCCGACGCCCCAGGCCACCCGCCTGGTGCAGGCTGGGAACCCAGAAGGCCCTCTCTGCTTCCCCAGCTGCCTCTGCTTTTTCTCCCTGTGACCACTCACCTTCCCCTGCGTGGCTAAGGGTGAAAATGTGACCACGGCCCTCCCCAGCACTAAATCTTTCCATAGCTCCCTGCAACCTGAAGCGCTGGGTCCGGCACCCCGAGCTCTTCCGGTTCGGCTCACAGCCGGCTTCCCCGGCCTCGTCTCCTTCTGCTCCCACAAAGCATGCAACGGTCTGGCAGCTCTCTGCTGCAGGAATTTGCGTGCTTTGGGGCTGGCTGTCCCTTCTGCCGGGAACGCCCTCCCACCTTGTCCAGCTGGCATCTCCAGCGCCCGTGCGCACCGCAAACGGCACCACTTTTATGGGGTCTTCTCGGGTGCCCCCACCTTTCTCAGCGCTTGCTTCCACGGCCCGCAAAGACGCCTCACTGGAGACACCAGCTCTCTTGTGTCTGTGTGAGGGCTGTGGACCGGGTCTGGGTGACTGAGCCCATCAGCCTGCCTAGGAAGGAGGCCAGGCCCAGTGATGTGGGAAACAAAGGCAGAAGAAAAATGATTACATTTCCTTACTACCTATAGCCCCTTGACAAGTCCTTGAAAGAGGCAGAGTGACATTCCTCTAGGGACTCAACGGCCTTGATGTTGACACTTGGCCAAGGGCAAAAGTCAATCCTAGCCCAACCCCCAGGACCCTATAAGCCTACTCTAACATACAAAAATTCCTTTGGAAACTTCTTTTATCTCTACCCCCCAAGACACAGGTCGGCAAGCACCCCCAAGACCCACCGATGTACATTTGAAGGGTTTCGGGACTCAGGATTTACGAAACGGTAAGAAACGACCCTTCCCATAATAGCTACACCCTCAGGATCCCGGAGCCTCGTTTCCAAAATCCCTGGGAGGCTTACACTATCCCTGACCCCTTCCCAACTTGAAAATATATAATGGGTCCCTCCTCATGGCCCCAAGGCGGCTCTTTCTGCCCTGGGGTCCTGTCCCAGGACTTTAATAAAACCACCTTTTTGCACCAATGACGTCTCAAGAACTCCTTCTTGGCCTTGGCTTCAAACCT